GATGACCTATCCACATCATCATTTACCCAGAATGCTTTGTGCATAAATAAAATGGCTCCGTCTATGTTAAAATATATTTAAAAAAATTAAAAAACTAAACCAATATGTTTATTAAATAAAGTCCAATGTTACAACTAATCAGGGATCCCTTTAAAAGATTTGAATCGTTCATGAAGTCTTGTTTGGGGATGACTCTCAGCTAGCTACCACCACCTCAAAATTTCAGCTCAAAACCTGTAAAGTTAAACTGTCAAAAGTCTATTAACTGCAGCAGATATCCTGAGTCTGGTTGACTCCAAAGTTATGGAGCTAAATTGGGGCCATAAAGTTTGTTCTAAAAAAACATTTTTTTTTTGAAACTGAAAGAAAGAATTTTGAAACTGAAAATAAATGAAAATTTTATTGTACATTTTTTTAATTTTATGATTCAACAGCCTGCCATATATTAAATTGTAGGACATGACAACCTGCCATACAGGTTAAATATATGTTACAGCAGCCTGTTTAACAATGTTAATTCTGTGATGGAACAACCTGCCATTTTTTTAAATTATATGACCCAACGGCCTGCCATACTTAATAATTATGACACAATGGCATGACATTTTTTACATTATGATACAACGGCCTGCCATATTTGTAAATTATGACAAATGGCCTGCCACACATAGTTAATTATTATACAATGGCATGACATATTTTAAAATTATATGATACAATGGCATGCCATGTTTTAATTATATGATATAATGGCATGTCATACATGTTTTATTATATAATACAGGTAGMTCTGAACTTTTTTTAATCAGTTCAAATGTTTTTTTGTTCAGTTAAATTTTTCTTTCAGTTTCAGAATTTGTAATTTTTTAACAAACTTTATGGTGCCAGTTTAGGTCCATACAAAATGTTGTAGATCTCAGTTTAACCATTACTTTCTTACATCCAGTGGCTCATGAGATATTTTGCTAACAGGCAGACAATCAGAAACAAGCCTGATCACCTGCTTACCTTGGCTGCAGCTGATAAATATTTGAGCTTGTTGTTAACAGTAAATCTAATAAAACTGATCAGCCAACAGAGGCAGCACTAAGGAGACCTTCGGCTGATTTTTACTCTTTAAAGCCTTTTTTTTATCAAGTAGGAATCAACTTTGAGCAGAACTCAAAGAAGAACATGTTCAGGAAAAACTGCAATAAGAATTTGAATATGTCACAAGGTTAGAATAAAAAGAAGGAGAAATATTTCTGTTTCGAGTCATCTTTCATCCCAAACTGTTGCTGAAAATAAAAAAAAAAGAAACAGCCGAGGGYCTGAAAGGTTGGGTGTGGGAGGAGGTTGAGCTTTCTCTGTTTCCTAATGATGCTTTGTAGCACAAAAAAAGTCAAATGTAGGCTGAGCGGCAGTCTGTAATTGGCTCTCCTTGGGGARGAAGAAACTTGAGGCGGGTTCTGTCTGAAGGATGAGTCCAGAGGTTCTGATGCTTTCTTTTTACTCCAGAGCTCAGATATGTTCAGAATCCGGTTAAATTAGGAAAAGGGAGTTCAATTAAAGAGGCTAAATTTAAATTTAAGCTTTCTTTACTGTCAAATCTGTTTCCTGCTTTTACAGAAAATGTAACGTTATAGGAAGAACATTCTGTTTCCAAACAGCTCATAAGAAGAAAATCGATTCCATTGATTCAGCTTCTTCTATTAAAGTAAAAAAAAGACTTTTGTACAAATCTGTCCCTGAGGTCCAATTATTAAAAGGCAAGCTCTATCACAGCTTCCACCGGCGAGTCACAGGAGTAACAAGTAGGTGGCAAATATCAGCAGATCCCTGGAGGAGACGGCTGCAGCCACTACATTGAGTTCATGAAGAAAAGAGGATTCTCATGATTTAAAGTTGTATTTTTTCCACTGTGCTCTTTGTGTGAAGCTGCAGGCAGCTTAAACAAATCCAGGTCCGGAGGTCCTGAGGAGAGACCACTGAGTGTCGAGGACCAGGAGGCCAAGCCAGCGTCGGTGAAGGAGAGGCTTGAGATGTACCAGGCAGCTGTGTCCAATAAAGACCCTAAATCTGCTGCGGTAAGACAAAGCTTCCACCAGTTTTAGATTAGTTCTGTGTTATATGCAGGTTAAATTATGGATGGAAAAAAAACTTTCTTCACCTCAATGAAAGCAAAACTCAGGTTCTACTATTTGGRCAAAAACCTCAGACTACAAATCCAGATCAGATTCTTGGTTCCTTGGCTCGGTCTTATCAGACCTCTGCTAGGAATCTTGGTTTTATTTTTGACAACACTTTAAAGCTAGATAAACAAGTTAGTTCTGTCGTCAAATCCAGTTTTTACCACCTTCGGCT